CTGTGAAAATGCTGCGTTTGAAACGCGACTACACCACATTCTCAGAGTTCCTTTCCAAGCGCTCGGTCGAGAAAAACTCAAGATTAGCCTGACAACTGCAAGTGAGTGACACTGAATACCACGGTTACACAAAATATAGCCACAAAAAGAAAAAAAAAAAAAAAAGCTGTGAAAATGCTGCGTTTGAAACGCGACTACACCACATTCTCAGAGTTCCTTTCCAAGCGCTCGGTCGAGAAAAACTCAAGATTAGCCTGACAACTGCAAGTGAGTGACACTGAATACCACGGTTACACAAAATATAGCCACAAAAAGAAAAAAAATCACTTGTATATTGCTGGCTCTGTCCTCTTCTTTTCAGGAAAATAATATTTACAAAACTCATGTAGTATTGCGTGAGGACAGAGGACAATTAATTAAAAATATTACTTTCCAAATAAAAAGCAGATGTGATCACACACGGGGTCCTCAGATAACAAGTCAGAACGCCGTCAGTCGGTCACTTGACGCAGTCGAAAATCCCAATTTACAGCAAATCCAATGTTTGGATGAAAACACCTGACTATAAATCAGATCAAAAACACAAAGTCATACACCGGCGCCGTTGTTAAACAAAAAATCAGTACCGTAAGTTTTGTGTGCTCATTTTAAAGAGCCTTGGAAATATGTCTGCAATGGGGACGTCAAAAGGCTAGAAATTGATTTTATAATTTCATTGTCATGTAATCCTACCTACCTACTGGTTATCCTGCCGTTATGGAGGCCAACCAAAAATACTAATCTGACGCAGTATCGTTTTAAACGACTAAAAACCACAACGATAAATCTCTTGTTCTATGAAAACTGGAGCACTCTGACAGTGCTATTCAATACATTAAGAATTTTCGATAAGGCTTCCGTATTGGATCTCATTATCGTATTTAATCCCCCCCACCACCACCACGGTGTTAGTTTGGTTTCTTTAAATCCTAACTCTTGCTCATTGGCAACCGGTCACATGCTTGCCATGTCGTCTATTGACATTTCCCCCTCTTCTAATAGTAAGCTTGTCATTATGGAGGCTTTACTTGCAAGTGTTGTTCACATGCAAGCCAGGGATAGAGAATGAGTGAAGAGTGGTGCGTTGTGAAATGGGCCAGGTCACCCACCCCCCACTACATACATACAGACACGCACACACAACATACATATGAACCCTCTGACTCTCTGCATAGGGCGCGAGCGCACACAAACACATACACACACACACACACACACACACACACACACACACA